GAGAGAGAGAGAGAGAGAGAGAGAGAGAGAGAGTTAGTAAATTGAAACCAAAGTGTTTTCAACATCCCAGTATCCTCTCAAGTGCCAGATCTACGAGAGGCATCGGCAATCATGGTTCTCCATTCAGGTATTTGCTCGGATGCTCTAAAAAAAAAAAAAGCAACATTATCCTGATCTTTCCCTGTCAACCATCTGTTTAAGCTCTCTAAGTAGATTAATCTGGGTCTACCTCTGACTCTTTTCCTTTCTATTTTGCGAGTGAGAGCTAATTGTTCTTCTTTTATACTACCATGCATTGTTTTCTTCACATTCAACAATAACCCTTTTATGTTCACTTTCAATTACGACTGTATAGCTTCTACATGCGATTGAAGTCTGCTACATGTATTAAGACTGTGTCATCGGCATATCTAAAATTACTATTTTCGCCTTTCACTTTGATACCTAGACATTCTTATATATTTCAAAGGATTGTTTCACTGTACATGTTAAAAGGGTCTGGTGACACAACACACATTTTCTCACTCCTCTTCTTATCTACTTATAGTCGCTTTATTCACAATCAATTCTTACAGCAGCGTTTTGGTCCCAGAAGAAAGCTCTTGGTCATTCTAAGATCTTTCCCGTCTGTGACTAGCTCTTCCTATAATACTTCGAATAACTCATCATGTCTAACCTTTTCGAAGCCTTTGAATAATCAGTGAAGCATAAATACATTATCTTTCTTTGCTTTAATACATGTTTCCTTTAACATTGTTAAGGTGAATAGCATTTCTGATGCCCTTGCCAGGAACAAAACCGAATTGTGTTTTCGATAATATTATCTGTGGTCTTCGACTCTCATTCTTCCCATTTGTACTCGCGCCCTTTTTGTTCCACTTATCTGGCTTTTTTTTTTACCATCTAGCATAAGGCTTTTGTCAGAATGAGCATAGATGTGTGTTGCTCTTAGAGTATGTATCTGTATATAACTCCAAAGGTCTAGTATTTAAATTCCTGCATGTGGTTGAATGATGCATAATTTGATGTAAATGTACTTTTTGTCAGCTTTACTTCTCCTTCATATTGAATTTTAATGAGAGTAATATATATGATTTAATTTTTTTATGTATACCTGCATGTGTTTTTACGGTCCTGTACAGCCAAGGAAAATTTCCCTCTGGGATAATAAAGTACTATCTTATCTAATCTCTTATCTTATCTGACACTCTGTGGCACCCGGTACTTTAATAAGTAAAGCTATAAAAACTAACATCATCATATTATATGTTGGAATCTCACCGCTGTCATAGATAAAATTTAAGACTTTGTTGTTGTAATTTCTGTGTTCTTCTAGTGGGACTGTGACAATCACCTCAACAGTACTGCGGTACTGTCTGACCCTGTGGCTTTTCCCTGTTCAGGGTTGATGGTCCATTTCTTTCTTTTATTCTTACCGTTTGTTATCCTTTGTTGTCTTTGAAAAGTTCCTGTGTGTATTCTGGCCGGCCATCTGTTTAAGGTATCTCCTTTGCTCATTAAAAGATTTCCTCTTTCTATATTTATGATGATTTGAGCATCCTTTCATTCCTCTTTCGGTACTTCATTGAATTTAGAATGCACGTAATTATTATTTTGATTCTTCTCTGTGTGTTGACACTACTTATTTGTCCATCCTTCTTTTACTTTGTTACTTTTTTTTTTTTCTTAATTTTTAAGGTGTTATACTTTTCAACATTTGATTTTGTCTGCCTTCGCTCTTCCGTGTGTTTTAACATTTACTGGGCACTGGGTTATCCACTTTTAGTTACTTTCTTAGCTTTAAAATGGGAAAGGGGTGGCGGCGGTGGTTTTCATCCTCTTTTAAATCTGTTGCTTTCTTCCACTAAAAAACTGTTCTTCCGAATTAATAAAGTTTCCCTTTTGTGATCTTGAGTATTGCTTCACCAACTAGAATTATAATATAGACAATATACATTATATACAAATTCCTTATATTATATA